GGAATATTCTACATATGAAAATATGACCTGCAACCCTATATTTCTAGCAGCACGATCCACAATATCAAAAACAAGTGAAGACAACCCAGATGGCCATTGAACAATGAATGGATAAAGAAATTGTGGTTAATCTATGCCATGGAATACTACCTCAGCCAGTAAAAAGAATGATATTCTACAATTTGCCACAAAATAATACCAACTGGAGACCATTTTGCTCAGTGAAATAAGTCAATCTCAAAAGGACAATTATCATATGTTCTCTATGACATAACGCAACAATCATGCAATATATATATATATAAATTCTCATAAATGAACTGTAAAATGGAGACTAGCATTCCAGGAAGTGAAGGTATGTTGCAGCATACATCTCTACTCCTGAATAAAAGATGGACTCTTCATGAAATTATTAAATAAACCTTAAAAATAGGATACAAAACTTTCTAAGATTGTCTATACCTACAATGCCATGGTGAACTAAATAACAGAAATGTTGGACTTGTGACTGTTGTTGAAGGAATATACTATTGTTATAATATGGAGGAAATAGAGGGTAGGGAGGGAGGAAGGGGAGATGGAGGGGGAATCCCTACACCTACAAAACTATATCATGGAAAATAATAGTCAAATCTAAAAATACAATTATAAATATCCAGTAATAGGAAATGAATTGTTAACCTGTGTTCTTTCGAGACACCATAGCAAATAATAAAAGCTGAGAGGACACTGAAAAAACTCAAGATTAGTAGCCAAGTTGAATAGAAGCATGGATAACCCACTATGCACAACTGTCTGAAGTGAGGAGAATATTACAGAATTGAGCCCTTAACTTGTGGAGTCTGCAATAACTCTGGATAGTTAGTGGGAGTACTGAACTAGGTTGTATTAAGTTGTGGTTGCCTCAGAGAACTGGATAATTGTTGAGTGTGGATATTTCACACATTTTGAGCCAGAAGTGCTGTGAAAACAGGATGATTGGTACTCAATTGATGCATCAGTAGGAAATATTCAGAAAGAACACAAGGAAATATAAAGGAGCTGCAGTTTAGGATGCAATCAATGTAATAAGTTGTAAAGCTGCAGGAAAAAGCAAACACAAAGAAAAAGGTCAGGAATATGTGAGGTGGAAAATGAGACACTGTCGATGACACGGTTTTTTGGGCAGCCCCAAAAGACCCTGCACTAAATCCAGGATGAGGAAACGCCACCTGGCACAACAACCTGTGTTTTTAAATGGAAAGGAGCTGTTGCTTGGGGCTAGACCCAAGAATCATCAAAATTTGGAGGATCCCAATCACTGGGAAATCCCAAGTTAGGAGCCCAAGGCTTCTTGGTTCCTCCCCGTGTTTGTCTCCTCCCCTTTTTTCTGAACTCCCAGGCTAAGCTTCTCTGGCATCCCCAGTCAGTCAGAACCCTGGAGTAAAAGTCACACTGGTCACCCTGCCTGTCCCTTGACTTTGAGCGGCCTTCAGCCACTCTTCCTGCCAGGAGAGAGCCAGTGCCCACTCAGCGAGAGCAAGAGAGCTGTGCTGTAGCCCAAGGTGCCCAGGCCCACCCTGCCTTTCCTCAGACAGTGCCACAAGTGCTCATGAATGGTCCCATCGCTGCTTCTGCTCTGAGGGATCCACTGAAGCCAGCTCTGTGCCTAACTCCCTAACTCAAACAGGAAAATGCAGCAGCACAGTGCCAGGGTGGGAAGCCTGCAGTGGGTTGGAGATGGGGAGGGCACTGAGAAGGCAATAAGGGAGAGAGTCCCAGAAAGTGATTTAGGCTCAGCCACCACCTCCCGGGGCTGGCATTGCCAGGCCTCGCACCCATCTCCTCCAACAGCAACCGCTACTTCTCTCCATCGCCTCCTGCAAGCCTGCTTGAGTTTTCCAGCGCCTGGAAAAGGACACAGGTGGCTACGACGCTAGCGGCTGCCCAGAGGACTGTTTCCTTTACCGACAAGAGCAGGTGGTTCTGGTCGCCTGAGAAATTTCATACCCATGCAGCATAGAGACACCCCACCCACCACAACACGCTCCCACCCTGCTGTGTCAACCCGCACGTGTGTGTCCTCCAGCTCCTCTTTTCCTGCAAGCAAACACGCCCCTCTGCCAGCAGAGAGCCTGGCCACAGGACCCAGCGCCTGCCCACGTGACTGCGCAGTCCTCTTTCTGCTGCTGGCCGACAGCATGGATGGTAGGGACCGGCTTCAGAGGATGAGCAGCTGGCTACAGGGACCAGAAGTTCCAGCGCATGGGGCAAGAGCAACAGGTGGGTCGCCTGCTCCAGGAGCCCAAGCTGCAGGCTTTATGCCTGTGCTGTGCTCTGCAGGCCGCTTGCATAGCTGCTAAGGAACACGCAGCTAAGATTTTCTTTTGGTTGTGTCCATATTTTAGGCATTGTGGATTTTCATCAAAAACTTTCAGTATTTTTATTACCCCTCATGTGATATGTAAAAATTCATGTGTGTGAGGATTGGTCTGCAATAAGAATTATAAGTAAAGCAAACATTCAAGTCCAAGATTCTACCACTACAATGATCTTTTTTAACATTTGTGCTTTTCCAAGACAGATAAAAGTGCCAGTTTATCCTTTCATAAGCCTTCATGTACTGCAATCACAAGGATAAAAAGCATACTGCATGCTCATAAATCAATTAATACTTTGGTAAAAAGCACCATGTTACTGAATATTAGTTTTGGCACCATAGGGCTTCACTTGAAAGAATAATTTAATTTAATTTAATTTAAAAGCCGGAGTTACAGATGGAAGGGGAGACAAGGAGAATAGGGATCTTCTCTCTCTGCTGGTTCGCTCTCTAAATATATGTAGTGGCCAGGGCTGGACCAAGTGGAAGCCAGGAGCTCCATCCAGGTCTCCCAAATGGCTTTTAGGTGCTCAAGTGCTTGAACCATCCACAACTGCTTCCCTAGGTACAATACCGAGGGAGCTGGATTATAAGTGGAGCTGGCACTTGATACTGGTACTCTGACTTGGAATGTCAGTGCTGCATTTGGCAGCTTAGCTCACTGTGCCACCACATTGGTCCAGGCTTCACTTTCTCAACTCTGGTGTTAACTTGTAGATATTTTGTTCAATAAATCAATGCAGATAATTTCTGCTTAGTAGAACAAAAAAACCTTAAATATTGTATTTGTTCTGTGAGATATTAAATACAAAATACCAATTTTGTATTTAATCCAGTAGTGTTACACTGACATTTATTGATTTTTGTCTAAGAAATCTGCTGTACGTGTTTTGTATGTCTTTTAATATTGAGTATACTGCATTTACTTATCTACGGCAACAGTTTTCTTAATCTCAGCAATTGTGTTGAAAATATTTCATTGTGGTTTTTATTTATGAGCCGCAATTGTTTACAAAATTTACAGCACTCAACACAGAAATAAAGTTTTCATCATATCAAATAAAATATTTACTACTTCCCCTATGCCTTGATTCTTTCTCCAATCCAGTTCAATATCTGACTTTTTAAACTGTCCTGTCTGAAATTGTGATGTAATCTATTATTGTGGTAAAATATAAATACAATTTTGCCATTTGGCTATTTTTTAATATATATTTCAATTGGAAAGGCAGATTTAGATAGACGAAGATATTCCATTTGCTGGCTTATTTCCCAAATGGCTGGAATGACTGGAACTGTACTGATCTAAAGTTGGGAGCCAGGAGCTTCTTTCTGGTCTGCTGTGTGGGTACAGAGGTCCAAGGCCTTGAGCCATCCTCCACTGCTTTCCCAGCCATAGGCAGGGAGCTGGATGGGAGGTGGAAATGCCTGGACTCAAGCAGGTGCTCACATGGGATGCTAGCACTACAGGGAGTGACTTAGCCTGATATGCCATCAAGTTAGCCCTGAGAAACTTTTTTCAATATGGTGCATTTTATTTCAGACTGTGACATATAAGTGACATAGGAAGTCAAATTGAAGCTGCATGGAAATTGTATATAAGTATATGCACTTTTAAAAAATGGTATCTAATTTTGTATAGCTGTATGACCAATGACAAGTTTCACTACATAGAATATCATTAATATAATTTCATGTCAATAAAGCAATCTATGCACAATTCCAACAATGGATGAATGGTATTTCCTTAGCACTTTTTCCTTGGACAAGGACCATAAAGGAAATCCCATTCCTGACCTCAGTTAATTGGAGTTTTTGTTTTGTTTCATCCATTAGGTGACTTTAAATTATAAAATGAGCATACTTGGCCTACTTAGTTCCCCCAAACTGGCCTTCTAATTGTCCAACTGTATCCTGCAATAACGTCTTTTCACCTATTTCAGGCATGCAGTACATGTATGCAGATGGAAACAATTTTCTAATTACACATTTTTCCTCACACCATCACTGCCCACTTCCAAAAATGACATAATGATTTGTTTCATCCTATCTGCTAGTCACCAATTTGAGTCCCTTTTTTTCTGCAGATCCCTCTGGTACTTGGCCACATCAATCTTCTCCACTCCTGCCCCTTTTTTTCCTTAAGATTTTCTTATTTTATTTGAAAGTAAGAAATACCCAGAGCTACAGGGAGAAAGAGAATTATCCACTGGCCAAATGGCTGCTATGGCCAGAGCTTGGCCAGTCTGAAACTGGGAGCCAAGAGTTTGTTCTGGATCCCCCCCGTGGGTACAGGGTCCCAGAACATGGGCCAGCCTGCTCCACTTTCCTAGCCATTAGTAGGTATCTGGATCAGAAGTGGAGTGGTTGGGGCATAAACCAATGCCCATATGGGATGCTTACAACAAGGGTGGATTAGCCTGCTAAGCCACAGTACAAACTCCAGTAATTCCCTCCCTATGCTCCAATAACAGGATTTTCTAACAGAATTTGTTTGGCATACTAATCATTAATATTTGTTAAGTGTGCCCAATGTATTCACATCCGCTTTGTAAACTTGAATCATTTATGCTGACTTCAACACACAACTTTATTGAAAACACAGACTTCAGTAGAGAACCATAGAGTTAAACAATAAATAGCAGCTTATTCAGGCACAGTTCATTAGAAGCCAAACAACAAAAATATCACATCTGAACAACAAGACAAATTTCAACAATTGCATTTTCAGTTGCAATATTAATTTGGCATCCACAAAACAATTCAGCTCAAAACAAGAGTTCAACAAAGATTAACATCAACGTTACAAATATAAGTTACAACACAAAACCAGACTGTGAACACCAAAAGCACTGTTCAGGGCTCTTTGGGAGCATAAGGCTGAGCAGGGGCAGGTGATTAATCATATTAACTTTGTTGTCCTGTCTCAGGATCATTTTGATTGTCTATTTGGATTTGTAGTTGCTTAGCTAAAGCCTCAAATTCATGGAATGCAGATGTAAGTGGCTCAAGACTGATATCATCATCAATTAAGGATAATGTGCCATTTCTTATAATATTACTGATGTTCTGAAACATCTTAACAACAATTTGAATATTATCATGTGACTCTTCTATGTTAAAGAGACCTATAAATATTGATAGGGCTTTGGCACTGAATAGGTTTTTTATCACCATAGGATTTATGGACAAATTGAGTAGCATTTTCAGAACAAGAAATTTTGTTCTTGCATTGCCTGTGATTAATAAGGAAAGAAATCCAGACACATAATTGTCAATCAGTGCATGATAGTCAGTCGTCATAGTGAGGTGTCTAAGCATCCTTAGTCCAAGCATCTGCTCAAGGGAATCTACCCCAAGAGAAAGTGTCTCTTCACACACTTGACAGACAAATGTCTCAATCATGTTTAGATTTGGATAAGGTGGAGCCATTTGAAGCATGGTTTCCAGAAATTGTGTCCTAACTCGGGAGGATGGATAATTGAGCAAGGTTTCAATAAGTGAGACTACACCTGAATCCCGAATAAAATCTTTGGTAAACTGAGAAGCACTTCTCATCCCCATTGCAATTTTAGATATTTCCTGGATGAAAGGATCACGCACTCTGTCCATCAGTAAAAGGAGTTCTTCAAACTCTGCAGAGTCGATTCTAAGCTCACATTGTATGCAGGTGCAGGACCAGTTCTCAGTCTCTGCATTTTCCTTTTCCTTAAGGTGCTCTCGAATTTCCTGGACTGAGCGGTAGGAAGGATCATACTGAAATGGGTACTCAGGTCCAGGCTCATCAGGCTGAGGCAAGGATTCCTGCTCTTCCCTGTCTGGGCTAGGCTCCACAGGCACGGGCTTTGTCTCAAATGTTTCAGAAGCCCCTTCAGCAAGTGTAAACTGGCTTGTGGATGGGAAGCCAATTTCATGGCAAGGGGCAGGTCTGAATTCAACAGTGACCTCTTCCCAAGTTTGGGGCCTAGATGATGTATCAATTTCCTGTTCAACTGAATCTCTGAACCTGTTACTGGCCTTATATACAGGATTAGGATTCACATCAAAACAGGCTTCATCTCTATCCCAGAACCAGGATCCAAATATGGCCTCTTCTTCGGACTTTGGCTTGGCCTCTTCTCTGGCCACAGCCCCCAAATTACACTTTTCCTCGGTCCAAAACAGGGATCCACCAATAGCCCCTTCCTCAGTTCCTGGCTCAGACTCACAGACTGCTGAAGCCCCAGCCTCCAAACTGGCCTCTTTTTCTGTCCAGAACCAGGACCCAATAATGACTTCCTCCTCCAACCTGTGCTCTTGGTTGGCACTGTTATGGTTATTAACATCTTTGACGGCCCGTGATTTCAAAATAGTATTGGGCTCTCCCTTGTCTCTGTGCTTGAATCTAGTATTTTCCTTTTCCCCAGGTAAAAGCCAGGACTCCTTATAGAACTCATCTTCAGACTCTGATTCAAAACAGTCCCCCATCTTTGTCCTGAGCTTGGACCTAGTATTTGCCTCGTCCTTGACTCTGGGCCTGAATATGTTATTGGCATTTTCTCCACCCCAGAAGAAGGGGCTGCCAGTTTCATCCTCAGATCCAGACCAGGAATCAACATAGGGCTCTTGCTTTGATCTGGGCTTGGACCCAGAATTATTAGTCTGATGTTTAGCCCTGTGCCTAGACCTAGTACTGGCTTCTTCCTTGGGCCATGATCTGATACTGGGCTCTTCACCAGCCCACAAAGAAGACACTGATGTAGAGGTCTCATCTGCTGACCAGAATCCAGACTCATTAGAGGTCTCCTCTCTGGCTCGGGGCCTAGGATAACACCAAGACCCCATATCAGTCTCCTCCCCTGGTCTAAACCAGGACTGGATTCCTGTCTGATTCTGGGTGGTAGAAAATGGTTCAGCATCCATATTGTCCAGTTCTCCATCCACATTAGATTTAGTAGCTGACCGAGACTCAGAACTGACCAGTGGCCAAGTGACAGCATTAGGCTGGGACATACCCTCTGCTTGAGACAGTGCCTCAGCCCCAAATTCAGTGTGCACCCATGCCTGAGCTTTACCTTTGGGTCTTGACCCAGGAAGTGCCTTGGCTTCAGTCTTAGGACGTGCCCCACCCACTGCCCTGGCATCAGTTTTGGGCCTTGCCCCAGCCATTGTCTGAGCTTCAGTTTTAGGCCTTGCCCCAGCCGCTGTCTGCGTTTCAATTTTGGGCCTTGCCCCAGCCAATGCCTGCGCATCAGTTTTGGGCCTTGCCCCAGCCACTGCTTGTGCTTCAGTTTTGGGCCTTGCCCCAGGCACTTCCTGAGCTTCAGTTTGGGGCCTTGGTTCAGCCATGACCTGGGACTCAGTTTTAGAACTTTCCCCAGCCACCGTCTGTGCTTCGGTTTTTGGCCTTGCCCCAGCTACTGCCTGATCTTCAGTTTGGGGACTTAGCTCAGTCATGACCTGGGACTCAGTTTTAGAACTTTCTCCAGCCACCGTAGGTGCTTCAGTTTTAGGCCTTAGCTCAGTCATGGCCTGGGACTCAGTTTTAGAAATTTCCCCAACCACTCTCTGCACTTCGGTTTTAGGTCTTTGCCCAGTCATGGCCTGAGACTCAGTTTTAGAAATTTCCCCAGACAGGGCCACAGTATCCTTTTTGCGCCTTGAACCAGACATAGACTTATTCTTATTCTTGGATTTTGCCCCATTCATTCCTTGGTTCTGGTTTCTAATCTTGGGTCTGACCACCAGAGGAACTTCATTCTCTCTCTCAGCCCCACCTACAGCCTCCTCCCCACCCTTCTTTCTAGGCTTAGCATGAGCATTAGTCTCAGCCTCTGCCCCAGTCATGATACAAAGTTACAGACACGACCAAATTAACAACCTCTACTCAGGTCTTGGCGTTGATTGCAGATCTGTCAATGTTTTACACCTTTACACTCTGTTGTTTCAAATGAAAATTTCAAAAAGTTAAGAGTCACTTGCCAGTCCAGCAGCCAATCACCCTGCTTTGCAAGCACAGTCTCAGTCAAATTTACAAAATTCAGAGGAGGCAAAACCAAGCTGGGGGAGGATGGATGGCTCCTGGTGGGTGCAGACCAGTTGCGGGTGGTGGTCCACAGCAATTCCAACACTACCGGTTAGCCACTAGAAAAGGATCTGGAGAGAGAAAACGAAATTGGGATCTAAGTCTCCTCTGTTACCCCATGTACAAGCTTACAAAAGTAGACTGGTGTAAAATGCTCGGTGGGAAAACAGGAATAGGAGAGGGTCTCTGTAGCTGCTGCCTACCTGCTACACATGGGTTTGTAGGTGGTGGGAAGTGTTGGGGAACTAAGAGGGGCTAAAGAGCCCCTGAATGGACCATCATCATTCCTGAAGCTCTGCTAGGCTCCACTACCCCACCCAAAGTGAGCCCATTCTCATACCAACCTTCACTGATGTGGTGCAATCTCCCCCTCCTCTCTTTGAGCAACTGGTGTCAAGCCCCACAGCTGACTGCGGTGGGGAGGGGTCCTAAGACATGCAAACACAGGAAAGAAGGGCATCTGAGTGCTCAGCAGATAGCACACACCCTAGCCCCCAGACAAACACTGCTTCCCACTGGGATCAACATCTACACCTGTCCCCTGCATCGCACCCCTCCTCACCAGCCTCCAGAAACTTGAGCCAGTCTCTTCCTTCTTTCCTTTCTTGCAGTACTGACCAGCCTTAAAGCAGGCCTATGGACAAACAGATGGAAAGGTAAGACAGGCAAGAAATAACAGTAGCAGTTGAAGCCTGTGCACAGATGGATACCAAGAAAGATCTGCCTTTCAACCTTTGAGGTCACGCTGGTGGAATAGTCTGGTCTCAGTCCTGTTGCAGGGTTCCAGACAGACAAACTCCTTCCCTTGACGTCATACTCTGCCCAATCCCCCCGCCTCCGACTCTGAGGATTCACCACTAGGTGCACCACATCCCCACGCCTTGCGCAGCACAAAATGGGAAGAAGACATCGCACATTCTAGAAAGCAGATCGCAAAGTGGCACTTGTGATTATGCCTCTCTCATCCTCCCGAGCTGCAGAGGCCCTCTCCAGGCCCCCAGTCTGGGAGGGTGGAGAAGCAAGGTGAAGAAGGACCTGCAATGCTGTTAGAGAAGAATCTGGGGAGCCAGACATGTTGTGGCGGCACTCACCCCCATCTCCTCCCCCACCCACACCACGCACAGGTCCATACATCTGGGCCATTTTCTGCTTCTATTTTCGCTCACGCTTCTCCTCTACGGATAGGCACCACTGCCTGTCAGGAGAAGCCACACATACCAGCCACACATACCATGCAGACGTGAGCCCTGGACATCAACCCGAAGCCTGTAGGAAGGGAAAATATGCAGGACACGGGACCATGGACCAGTTTCCATACTCAGGGCTCTCAGCAGCTTTCCACTGGGCTGCCCACAGACCTCAGATGCCCAACCGCCATCCTTCCCTGCAAGCCTCCAGGGCGTCCCCCAGCCCAGACCCCACTGCACCATTTCTCCCACCTCCGCCTCCCCATTGCCATCTCCAGGCACCTGCCCCGTGGAGGAGGGCGGGGCACCAGTGCGGGGAAGGTGGCTGGCAAACTGTCCACGCCAGAGCCTCCACACGATGTGCTGCTGCCTCTGCAACCACCCGCTCCGCCACGGCCCAACCAGGCCTGCATGCAGGGGTCGCTGGCAGCACGTACCTCTCGGCCACAGGGGTCCCTGATCAGCGCAGACTGGACACAGCTTCCCTGCCAGGCTGTCAGGGTGTGGAGCCAGCAGTCAGCCACCGACCACGGGGGCCACCCCGCCGCCACCAAACCCCACTTGCCTGCACGGGCTCCAGGCCCGGGCTGCAGCCTGCCCTTCCTCCTGTTGCCGCTCCTCTCTCTCCTGGCCTTCCCAGTTTCCCGTGCCACCACCAGAGTAGAGACGCCAGCGCCCCCCGCGCCTCTGCACCAAACCAGCCAGGGGCTGCGCAGCTGCGGCAGGAGCCCGGCGCCGCGCGAGCCTGTCGGGAAGAGGGCGGAGGGATATGTCGCCAGCAGCTCGACGCCCCCTCCCAGGCCCACCGTAGTTCCGACCCTGCGCTGGGCGGGGCCAGCACGAGCGCCAGCCTCGGGGCCGGACGGCACGGGGGGCGCCCACGGCCCGAGACCCCCGCGCGCCCACCTGGCGACCACCACCCCGCGCGAGCAGCCAGGGGCTCGGGGCGGGCGGCTGTACGGGAGCGGGGCCGCGCTGGCTGCGGGGGTCGGCGGAGCCGCGTCCCCCACAGCAGCGGAGGGATACAGCCCGCCGCGGGGCGCCTCTGCACCTCAGGCCTGAGCGCCTGCCCCGCCGCCCCCTCCCTGGACACTGCTGGTGGACGGAGGGGCTGCCAGTCAGCGCTGAGGTCGGGGCGGGCCGAGGCCCTGGCGGGGGTCCCGCCCTCTCTTGGATGCCTTCAGGAGCCAGGCCAGGGAGGAAGGCACTTTGGCGCCCAAGAGAACACGGCTGGGGGGCCCGCACAGAGCCCTCAGCCTTGCCTGAGTCTCACACAAGGCCCACCTGTCCCTCCAGCCCTAGCAAGCAAACCCTGGTCCGTGCCCCGAGTTGGCCTTTGGGCCAGACTGCCTTTGCTCGTTCTGTGATGCCAACTCGGTCATTGTGTAATGTCCACACTCGCCCAAGAAAGAGGACGCTCCCCTGTCAGGACCCACAGGTGCCCACAGAGTCACCCTCTCTGTTGTTGCCCAGTGGCCACGTGGCAGGCCCTGGGCACAGCATGCCCTGGGCACAGCACGCCCTGGGTCTCCTTCACTCATCTCTCTCTCTTTCAGTTTCAGATTTTTTAACCTGTTGCCTCTCAGGCTTTTGGCTAAGATCAAGTAAAAGTTGATCTGAAAACAAGAGAGAGGGAGAGGGATTTTTCATCTGGTTCTTCACTCTACAAATGCCTGCAACAACAGCCAGGTCTGGCTCAGGCCACAGCCATGATTCAGAACTGCATGAGAATCTCCAGGTAGAAGGCAGTGCCCCCAAGTACTTGCGTGGTCCTCTTCTCCCTTTCAGGTGCATAAGCAGGGAGCTGATTGTACTGGACAGGCTGGGACTCTGACTGGCACACCTAGATGGCATGCCAGGCTTGCAATTCAGCTGCTTTACCACTGTACCACTCAGCAGGCCCATCAAGTCTGTTCTTTGCAATCGCATCTAAGCCCTCAAGGCATTTGGCAGTGTGGAAAGTGGACAAGGATTCAGTCACCTGGGCCTCTGCCATTTTCAGTAACCACCTGCCTCATTTCACCAGTTCCTCTCAGGGAAGAACCCAGCGAAATCCGCTTCTCCAAGGCAGAACAACCTGCCTGTTCTCTGGATCCTCTGCTTTCACTCACACATCCTTCCTCCAGCCTGGAGCCCATCTCTGTCCTTGCTGCATTGGGCAAAGACAGCAGTGTCATTATCTACAAACTGGATGCTGTCACTGCTGCACCGTTGGAAACTCACTTGAAGGCCACCGTTGTTGTGCTTGGAAGAATAATGGTAACTCTAAATGTGTGTGGAACATATAAAGCATGCTTTGTTACCTGGCAAAGGAGAATTAAGGTTCCACATAAGGCTAAGGTTCGCAGTCCACTACTCTGAACAAAGATTATGCCAGGTTATTCTTACAATGTTTCACTTTTGGAAGTGTCACTTTCAGAGTAACACATTATGTGAAAATGCAGACAGGCTTTTGTTGGCTTTGAACATGAAGAAAGTCTGGAGCCAAGTGAGACAGGCTGTATCCAGAAACTGTAAAAGATAAATATGCTCCTGTGGTATGGAAACAATTCTACCAATACTTTTCCTTTAGTGTGGTCAATGCCTCCTTGTTTTCCAGCACTCAGCAGAGTCAGATAATAAATTCATGCTATTTCAAACCATTATGTTTGTAGTACTGTCCTCCATTTTTTTTCTAGGTTGCATGTGTGGATTCACCCTGAGTTGCTTCAAACATATTAAAAAAGAAATACTGGTCTCCACAGCTGGCGTAGAGTCATAGTCAACTAATACTCCATCTGTGATGCCAGTTTGTGTTTCAGCTGCTGCATAGCCTGTCAAGATCCCTGCCGGTGGCCTGGTAGAGCAGCAAAAGATGGCCCAATGCCTTTGGACGCAGTACCCATGGGACCACCTGGAGGAAGCTCCTGTCTTTGCTTCAGCTCAGATCTGGCCATTGTACTCATTTGGTTAATGAACTAGCAGATGGAAGACCTCTCTCTCTCTTTTTCTCTGCCAAATCTACCTTTTGAATGAAAATAAAATAAATCTTAAAAAAATATTTAGCTAAAGGCCCAGCCCAGTGTTTCAGTGGCTAAATTCCACCTCACATTCACCCAAGATCCCATATGGGAACCAGTTTGTATCCTAGGTGCTCCATTTTCCATCCAGCTCCATGCCTGTGGCCTGGGAAAGTAGTAGAGGATGGCCCAAAGCCTTGGAACCCTGCACCCGCGTGGGAGACCCAGAAGTGGATCCTGGCTTCTGGCTTTGGATTGACTCAGCTCTGGCCATTGAAGCCACTTGTAGAGTGAACCAGCAAATGGAGATCTATCTGTATCTCCTTCTTTCTGTAACTCTACCTTTCCAGTAAAAATAAATATTTGTAAATGCTATCTGTATTTTTATATTATTTTTATTTTGGGTGCTAGAAACCCAAGAGTCTTCATTGATCACATAGACTTTTTTCTTGCCGTTATTTTCTAAAGTATACAATGTAATGATTTACACAGCACGTCATTGCACATATACATGATTTTGAGATGATGTAAACTAGATGGGAAAATGTGTAGTGGTCAGATCAAATACTATTTCATTTTTTAAAATATTTATCAACTTTAAGGAGTAAGAAACAGAACTTCCACCATCTGGTTCATTCCCCAGTTGGCAACAACAGCCAGAGCTGGGCCAAGCTGAAGCCAGGAGCTCCATCTGGATCTCCCACATGGGTGTCAGGGGTCCAAGTACATGGGCCATCTTCTGATACTTCTGCAGATGCTGTAGCACAGAGCTAGAATAGAAGCAGAGTAGCCAGAACTTGAACTGTTGCTGTAATATGGGATACTGGCATCACATGCAGCATGTTTAAGCTGCCTTGCCACAATGCTGGCCCTCTAAAATTCGCTTTGATTAAAGATAGTTTCTGGGCTCTTCTCGGTTGATTACCCCCTGGTACCAGTATTCTAAGAAAAATTTCTTGGAAAATTTTGACACTACCAGTATTGAACTATTTCTTCTGTATTTTTTAAAAAAGATTTATATTTGATTTTTATAGCTAGGTCTATGGTCTGTCTGTGTTGTACTAATTCTATTTTTAAACTTTATTTATATGAAATGCATTCAGCACATAACTCCTCTCTCAATTTCAGATATTTGAAAACAATCACCACCACCAGAAAAATTATGGAGAACCTTTTGAGTGCATTTAAAAATGATTGAATTTCTCTCCCTCTGCCAGATATACAACAAAATACTTATTATTTTATTTATTTATCATTTTACTTGAGAGAGAGAGAGACGGAGATATGAATATGTGTTCAGTGGTTCATTCTTCAAATGCCCGCACCAGGAAGAAATGGATTAAGTTGAAGCTGGAAGATCAATCCAGATCTTCCACATGGAGTGGCAAGAACCAAGAACTTGAGCCATCACATGGTACTTCCCAGGATGCACATAGCAGGAAGCATACATCGGGAGTGGTGTCAGGTGAACCCCCTGAATGGCCATTCCAATCAATGCCAATCACTGTACCAAATGACTATCCCAAGGATAATTCTTCATGAGAACTGAATGGGTTTCCTGAATGTCTAATTCATGGAAGCCCCTTTTCGATTCTGATATGCAGAATTTT